GGCACAGCGGTTGTAGCTAGGAAACTGGCTCGGCTATCTTGGAGTGCGGTGACCCAATCATCTGCTGATCTGCGGTTGGCGGGGTGGGCTATTCGTCGTGCTTTTGGGGCGGGTGCATCACTCGGAGAGGAGCTGTGGGCAGCAGCCGGGGGCATGAATGCATCCGGGGTTGCTTGGTCCATTTCAACATCAGCTGCATCGGTCGGGATATGCCCTGTCACAATGATTAAGCCGGCATTGAGTTCAGCTTTGGCTTCTGTGGCAAGGAGTACTGCAGGAGGGCACTGGTTAGAGCTGGCCATTGTGTTGTGTTGCATTGCTTCGGCTCTGCTTGCCTTGTCCGTCATAAGGTTGATTAGTTCGGCTATCTCAAACAATGAGGTCGGCACACAGTCAGAGTCGATTAGTGCAAAATTTACAGTGGGAAACATTAGGCACAGCGCTTCCAGGGCTGCAGCACCAGCCCAGGTATAATGGACCTGATGCAAACCTGTGTCGGCATTAATGGGAAAATGGATAGCAGTCGTTTTCTCCCGGTAGGGGCCAGTCACTGTACATCGGCCTTTGATCCAGGGTGCGAAATGCGGCCAGTAGGCTGGGGGATCTGTGCCTGACAGTTTGCGGTTGTCCACATAAACATAGACAGTGGCATACTGTGGCAACCATGAGAGGTTATCTATGATCCACTGGAAAAGCGTTCTATGATGGACCTGGCTGGCTGCGGGGCGTCGGATGCCGTTCCCTTCGTCCACCATGATTGCTGGGTATGTCAGGGGTGACCGGGGCATTCGACAAGAGCCGACATCGGCCCATTTCCACCTTTGTTTGATATCGTCCATGCCGAGTGGGGTTTCGACTTCTTTTTCCGAGAGGAAAAGTTCGTCGAGCTGGTGGCTTATTTGTGAGACCGCCTGTACATTGAAGAAATCGATAGGTGCGGCAATTTCCCACTGCTCCCTTGGGGGAGGCTCAGCCCCTTGTTGGAAGTACGGAGTGTCATCATCTGTCTCGAGGGCGTCAAAGTATTCTGATCACTGTCCACTGACACATCCTCGACTGTTTCATCTGGGACGGTTGGCTCTGCTGGTTCGATGTCTGTATCTGAGTCGTCAGGGTCAGGCGACGCCAAGGAAATGAACCTGTTTGGTGTCATAAGCTGTTGTAGCATGCTGACGCAGGCTTGACCCTGAACAGCCGGTACCCGGGTGTCAGGTGCCAAGTGACCAGCTGGAGATGTTGGATGCTATCTGTGCAGAGAGTGCAAAATGTGTCAACTGGTTTGGCAATGCTAGGGGAACCCCGAACGCCCGGCACCCGGGGTCGGGGTTCCCCGCTGCGGGGCCAATTCGTTGGAAGTTAAACAAAAGAGGAAACAAAACAATCAAGGTTTGACTATCACCTTAGTGTGCGAATTGATGTCGGATGGCTGACCTAGCTATAAGAACTAGTGGAGCCACAAAAGCTGCAGTGCAAACAATTGAGCCAATGACAATTCATGTAACCTTCTTTGCCCAAAGTAGCTGTTAGTTCATTGCGGGCGCCCACGAGGAACACTAATTGAAATCCGCCACTCGCCCCACTCGCCCCACTCGCCCTACTTGCCCTGGGCTAGCAAATTAATTGAAATCCGCCACTCGCCCCACTCGCCCCACTTGCCTTGGTAGGAAAATTAATTGACTTTGGCCACTCGCCCCACTCGCCCTACTCGACCCCACTCGCCCTACTCGCCCCACTCGCCCTACTCGCCCGACTCGCCCCACTCGCCCGACTCGCCCCACTCCCCCCACTCGACGCACTTGCTGCGGAGGTAAGCAGAGCAAGTGCAAGCTGGGCAAGCGGGGCAAAGCGGGGCAAGCGGGGCAAGCGGGGCAAGCGGGGCAAGCGGGGCAAGCGGGGCAAGTGGGGCAAGCGGGGCAAGCGTGGCAAGCGGGGCAAGGGGGCAAGCGGGGCACGCGATATACACTGACAGGCCCCATTTTGCGCAAATTGGAGCTCCCACCTGATAAACGACAATAGTCAAAATTACTTTCCTCGAGTGGCCCCGGTCAACTGGCATTCTAGTTGACATATATATATATATATATATATATATATTGAGATTCTATCGGGCATTCTTTCTGGCATTCCATCTGCCATATATTTTGAGATTGTATCTGATTATTTTGATATTCTCTCTGGCATTCTATCTGATATTCTATCTGGCATTTTGTCTGAGATTTCATCTGACATACTGCCTGACATTCTACCTGGCATTTTTTATGGGAGTCTATGTGGCATACATTCTGACATCCTATCTGGCATTCTTGCGGGTCTGTGTTTCCAGATGCATGTTTCCCACTTGCAAACATTGGCTCTATCTGGTGGTGCCACTTGCCACTGTCAAGATTAGCGGCCCTTGGCTTACCTGTGCTCTCTGAGCCGGGCTGTCGATGGTATCTCGAGCATACAAAAGTACAATCACAAGGATGTATGTTATTTACCCGTACTTGGTTAGGCAGTGGGCCGTATGGAAATATAGAGATTTGGTACAGTGGTTCGAACCAAGCCAGTAAGTAGCGACGCAAAGTGTGCTGGTGTATATAATGTCTTGAGCTGTAAATTGCAGATTCTGTTTGTGATTGGGACATCTTGAAGTCAACAGCGAGATGTCAGGAACTAATCTCCCGGCGACAGGAATTCATCATTTGTACCGTTGCCACGACTGCCCTATTTGGAGTCGTTTTTTTTGCAGTTTATCTTCACGCTCATGCCCGGGGCCGGGGTTGAATTTGGTGGAGTGATTGTGTCTTTGCGGGCAGGATCGGCATTGAGAGATAACGTGAACTTTAGAACCTTGATTTCGAATCTTGTTGCTTGTTTCAGATGTTTCCGAAAGATTTCGTTTTGAGTCATGTCAGCTTTAGACGCTGCGCACTTTTCGGCTCAAGAGAATCTCACAGAGACGGGTCAGTGAAACTGGCTCATTCCTGATAGCGCGCATCCATCGCCGGACCAGCGCGCATCTTCATCAAGCTGTTGTGAAGTTGCCAACTTCTGGTAGTCGCCGGGCTACTGCGGAACTTTGCCAGCACTTGCTTCCACGGCCATGCATGGCTTGGGAATATACTTTTGATTAATGCTGGGGGCTTTAGCTGCTCCCCGATGATTTCAGATCAGCTGTCTCAAGGGCCAGGAAACGATTCAGCTTCGTTCGAAAAGCGCAGAAAAAGCCGGCTGGCTTGGTTGTGGTCTGTGTCATGCTGCATACTGCCATTACTTCAAAACCACTCACCTGATTTTCGATTTTTTCCCAGTTTTCCAGGTTCGCAGACCGCGCTGCAGCTGTACTGCACCATGGTGTCCTTGTTTGCGTCAAACACCTTCTCATCTCATTTTGTTTTTCTCGATTTTCCTGGTTCGCAGTCCTTGCAGCAGCTGTGCTGCATCATGGTTTCCTTGTTTGCATCAAAGTTGCAGTGCCATGTTGAATGTGCCTATTTGCAACTGTCGCTCCCGTTGTGCTCAAGTTGATCGCCTGAGCTACTGTTGTCCACCTGTGCTCTCCGAGCCGGGAAATTGACTTAAACAAATACATTCGCTGCATTGGCCGCCATGGAAACGCAAGACATAACTGCGGTACTGCCCAGTAGGGAAACAGCAGACTGTCACGCTAGCAGTATCAGCCAAGGTTCAGGAACTCAAAGAGATTTTGCAGCGATGATATGATTCCTGGACGCGCGAGGTGCGGTGTTGCGGGTCGATGATATGATTCCTTCGGCTACAAGCGCACACTGCGTTACATGTGTCGCGCGTTTCCCTTGTCTCGCTTCAACCTGGAAAGCCTTTGCTCTGTGGTGTCACAATGACCGTGTAGTGATGGGGGCATCCTGCCTACGGCTCCGACAGCTCTGGTGTGTGCAAGCGCCTGCGCAAAGTGGTGCAGATCGTTGCCAGCGGCCGCGCTTTTGCCGCAGTGACATCATACGGATCTGTTGTTACCTGGGGCTTGCCGAAGATGGTTGCTGACAGGGCAATGGTACGGCAGCAGCTCTATGATGTGAGAAGCGTGACTGCAGCTGCCCAGGGCGCATTTGCCGCCCTTCGTCATGATGGGTCTGTCGTCACCTGGGGTCCAAGCCAAATTGAAGGGAGTGACGCAGATTCACAGCACGCATACTGCATTCGCTGCCATTGTGTTGGATGGGTCCGTGGTTGCTTGGGGAGACCCCTAGTAATGGAGGAGACAGCTCGATGGTCCAAGACCGACTTCAAGGCATTGTGAATGTTCAGGGCAACCCTTATGCATTTGCAGCTGTCACGGAGGAAGGGTCGCTTGTCACCTGGGGAAAGGCCACCTTGGGGGGCGATAGTTCTGTGATACGAGAAAGTCCGGCAAGTCACACCCTCTTTGAAAGGGTTCTTTGCCAATGCTGACGGATGTCAAGTTCATACATGGGTCTGCCAAAGCGTTTGCAGCAGTGCGCTACAATGGATCCATTGTTACATGGGGAGCGCAGGACGGAGGCGGGGACAGCTCCGCAGTGCAATCTGCGTTTGCCACTTTCTAGTTGCAGTGGCCATTAATGTTGCTACTGCAGCTGCGGCAAAATTAGACATCTTCACAAACTTGGACATATGGTATAGACAAACAGGCCTGCGGAACAGCCTGCTATGGTGTAAAAATTTGCGATGGGAAGCTGGGCGCAATGGTAATCTAGTGGTCGAAATAGTCGGGACATCCTCTCAATCCCTCAGATGCACTGTCCGCTGCAGCTGCCCTGCATGCTCAGAGAACTTCATGCTTTTTAACTACAGTGTGGTGTAGCATTTGCTTGTTTGCGCCTATCTTCATCCGTTGGGCTCAAATTTAGGCACCTGCGCCAGTATTGTCAACCTGTGCTCTCCGAGCCGGGCGATTGACGTAGACATCGTGACATTGAGCTGATATGTAGATGTACGTGTTCATGCTGTGAACAAGATCATCATTGTCATTTACAACCTTGTAGCTCTCCTTTGAAGCCATGGCCGACGAAGCGCAAGCGACTCGGCGAGCCTTCACCATTCAGGGGCCGCAGGTTGCCTTAGCTATGCTGCGAGGTTCCAAACGCATAGAATCTCGGAAGAGGCGGATGGCAGCTGGCTGGTACTATTTTCACGTGGGCCGTTAGTCAATCAACAGCTTGCCCCCCGAATGTTCGGCCGCCTTGCGCCAGACATGGCCGGATGCGCCAGAGGAAGCTTCTTTGTCCAAAAGTTGCGTGGTTGGGATGGTGTGCCTAGGGAAGGTGATTCAAGCCAGCAAGGTTGAAAACCCATGGGTCTGTGCCTCCTTGCCGTTGGTCCCCGAGATTGTTGCCATAGAGTTCAGATCCCCAGTTCGATGGGAAAAGGGGAAGCAAGTTGTCTGGCATGTCAAAGAAGGAGAGATGCAAGGGAAGCTGAAGGAAGCAACCGCCTCTGGGATTCCTTGTGGCCAACTGCAGAAGATGAGGGACCCGCTGCCAAGCGCCAGAAGCTCACACAGCCGCCTTGGAAAAGCAAGAAGCGGAAGCGCCGTTCTGACGCTGGGAACACCGGCAGTCCGGCTCAAGTTTCCTTCACAGCATCCAAGCGTCGCCGGCTGCTTCTTCGCAGCCCTTTGCAAAAGCCGAAGTTGGCTAAAGCACCAGCATCAGAAGCCTTGCAGGCCAGCACAAGCCCGCAGAGGGGACCTGACCGTTGCAGTCTTGCCCAACGGGTGGCAGCAGGAAGGACGTTGGAGCTGCTGACAACACTGATGGCAAAGTCACACAGTTGCAGCCCAGAGGAGGTCTCTTTGCTTTCCGGGACGATCAGCCAGTGTTCATTCTGAGTGTACGGACAAGCAGAAAAATTCCTTTGGCTGATGTGGTTCCATTGAAGCAGGCAACTTTTCAAGGACGAACCGTCCTCAAAGCCAAATACACAGAGACCCGCACATGCAGATGGAGTGAGCTCAAAGATGTCGGCTTACATTTCCAGATTGCCAACTGTGCGAATGATCGCCGTGGAGCGAGTGGCTTGGCCTCGATGATTTTTTGTAACATGTTGCCATCCTTTAAAGAGAGACCCGCAACAGATTGTTTTTATGTAGCCTTGCATGCCTAGGCTTGCCGTTCCAGAAGCAACCGGGGGAAACACAAGGAGATCAAGGCAGAGCTTTGCGCGAGAATGCAGCTTTGGCAGCTCGCTGGCAGGCTGGCAATGCAGAGCTAGGTTTGGCCACTTCATGCACAGTTGATCACTCGGTGCGATCCGTTGTGCCAGTGCGTTTGCGGGCGCACCTGGCCGAACGAGCTGCTTCAGGTATTACCCATCACGCGGCCCCACGCGCAGATGAGAGCCGTTCCTTTTGGATTCCGCGACTGAATTAGTTCTGTCTACCTGTGTTCTCGGAGCCGGGCAATGTCAGGACAGTATATCATTGAGTCATTGAATCTATTAATGCAACACAATCACACACAAGCAGCATCAGAGTCACCCTTTTAAAGCCTCTAGCCCTATGTTAATGGCAACGCAGCGCCCTTTCTGCTGACGCCGCAAGATGCCTGCCCCCGGTGATGCTGGGTATGGAATTTGGCTGGACAATTTTTATTGTGGTGTGCGATCCATGGCTCCGTTTGGTGTGTGGCTCCCTTGGCAGGAGGGTGTGACCTTAGCTGCAGCCTTTGGCTTCACAGAGAATGTATGCTTTGAATGCGCTGACACCTGGTTGCAGCTGGATGCTCTGGAATTTGACCCTCCAAGGCGGTCTGGAGATGGCAGCGGCCGGGCAGATGTGCAGCGGATTCGCTTGCTCTACAAGCGTGATTTACACGGAGATGATGGGCTCGTTATAGTTTCCTGTGACGAGGAGGATGTCATCTCCCCGCAGCATGCTCCACCAAACGTATGTAGACGCTGGCGTTCAGGTGCATTAGGGCCCATTGCGGGTGTTGAAGTTGACCTTGCATTGCCGCGGGCGCTGGATGAGCAAAATGTTCGTCTCTTGCTTGTCTATACTGGCACCTGTACAGTCAAGTTGATCAAGAACGTCCGCCTGAAAATTTGCCGCCAGACATTCCGCTATGGGCTTGGGAGTTGTTTTCAAAACCAAGATTTCATTGGACTGAGGCTCGGGTTCAAGCGTTGCAAGAATCTTGTTTGCAGACGCTGCAGGCCGCAGACCGCAAATTATCCGTACCTGATTAGCGCCGCCCTGGCTTCGTCCACTGCGACCTGTGGGTCTCAATGGCACGGACGATATTGTGCTCTCAATCGCAAGAAACTTCCAGAAAGCAGTCCTTTTGTACACTAGGCCAAGCAGTTTTTGATCATGTCGCGAGGTTAAAAAAATTCGCTGCGCGCTACAGAAGTGTTGAAACTGAGAGATGTGGAGGGCATGTGAACATTTTCACATTGTTCCGGCTGTCCACGCAGCGCAGCATGCATGAGAGCCAGTTTGGTTGCATGGAGTCGATATCACGCTTGGGACTGCAAAGGCAAATCCGACAAATATCACCATGATACCACGCATTGACAAGTGCTCTCCGGTACCCAAGCCGCGCCATCAAGTTCAAGTTGTAGGAGTTAGCTTCCTAGACATGGCCACGTGTGAAGTTTGTGGAGATGGTTTCGCAGACGATGCAGAAAAACACTTGTGCTCCCCGAGCCGAGACTCTTGCTCGCACGTGTGCCACGCGGATTGCTTGCAGCAATACCGATTAAAGCAGGGCTGCCCTATGCATGACTGCCCATTCTGTCTTCAGAATGAAGATTCCCAGGAAGAGGCTGATGATGCCGCTTTGCAAGAGATGGAGATTGAGGCAGCAATGGAAGCAGAGGCTGTGGCTGAGGGGGTAAAAAGAAAGACCAGAGAAGAGGCAGCTTCGCCTGTCCGTGCGGGTGGGGGCCCAGCGGGCAAGAAGTTAGCAACCAACGCAAGCCCGCCAGCAGGACAACGCAGCCCAGTGCCGCCCACCCAAAGATCCCCAAGCCCAGAAAGCCCTCCCTTCACACAGGGTGGAAGTGAAGCAGCCCGCTTGTCCATTCCAAGCTTTGGGATTGACATCTACGACGACCTGAGTCGGACCAGCAAGGCATCTACCACGGTGAAGGATCCTATGCACGACGCCATGTCGGAGTACTTGGCTTGCAGGGATGAAGCACAAAGCCTTTCGTTGCTTCACACCAAGAGCACATATCAAGGGCTTGGAAGCCCAGAGGCTTCTTATCAAACCGTTCTGAATGCAGCCTTGAAAGACCCCAGGGACCACCACGCTGTGGCATCAGACTTTGCCTTCAGAACTCGAGAAGTGCTGCCCGTGCCTTTCGAAGTCAGCTTGAGAACCATTGCCCGCAAGGAAGGTTGTGAGCCTGAGACATTCATGGCGCCGATCCTCAGCAACATTGGTTGGATGGAGCATCCATGCAGGCACGCGGCTTCGATTGCAGCCTGATGAGGAGCACCGACGTGGCTGCGTAGTCCAGATTGTTTGCGCAGGTGACCCCAGCATGCGCAAGAGTTATTTGAAGGATTTTACCTGCAAAAAGCTTCTTTCCCATGCAGATGTCCCTGCTGTCATCAAGGCAGGTGGCGCCACATGCACGGATGCCACCATCAAGGGTCTTCGTGCTTCTATCAAAGAATATGCCCGAGCTGGCATCATTTCGGATGAGATTGCCACAACAATATGCCATGACATCCGGGAGGGAGACCCGACACTCAGGTCTGCATTACGGCAACAAAGAAAAGATGTGCACTTGGCTGAACTGCGAAGATGACAAGACAGTGACTGGAGATGGTGCCACGGCGCTGACTCATTACACCTTCGTTCACCAAGTGTATGGACAGGTGTCGCTTTGTGAGTATGTGCTCCAGCGACTGCAAGCATGTTTTGCAAGAGAATCCATGCGACGTGGCAAACAAGGCCAGTGACAAGTGACCCTGATCAGCAGAGCCAGTCCAGCAAAGAGTTCCTGATTGACTTCTTTGGTTGGATGGGGCGCGTGGCAAGCAACCAGGACAAAGACCACTATTTTGACAAGTTCGCCTTGCCCGTGCTCAGGAAGGCTTTGCAGGGAATCTCCGACTTCTTTCACGAGAATCACGAGAATCACGAGAATGTAGAGGAACCAATCTAACAGAAGCTACGCTATGCTGACACAGATGTGGCTCGGTACGCTAATGCAGCCATGCGTTGCAGGCAGTATTCTGAGGCCCGAGCGCGTTGGCCCTTGATAGGATCATAGATGAGTTTGCCGTTGAGATGACCATCTTCGATTTGGGACATGCCTTGCATATCTGGCGTCGCCAAATGTGCTTGTGGTTTGCCTTCTATCGCTCCAAGCAAGTCCAAGCCTTGGTAGGCCCCAAAGCAGTGCCAGATGTCAAGCCCCCAGGACTTGCAGATTTGGATGCCAAGGTGAAATTGCAGCGAGTCATTCTGTCCAATCCTCGATGCGCTGGTCCAACCTCCACTGCGCACATTCGCTCTGTTCTGAAGTACCACTTTCAGAAGGAGAAAGAGGAAAAACCAGCAAAGTTCGTCTTGGCAGCAGTCAAAGACCTCTTGAAAGTTGGCATCTTGCAAGAGGTTGACAAGAAGGAAGTGGAAGAACAGGCGCCCAAACTTAAGGACAAGAAAAGCGCCAAGAGCAAGGAGGCCACGCTAAAGAGCGAGCCACGAGGCCCGCCAGGTGGCCACGCTGTCCTGTACTACCAGACATGTGCCTGGGAGGGCCTTTTGACTAATTCGGAAGCTCAAGACATGATTGCCAAGCTTCAACTGAGTGCCAATGATTTCAAGTAGGATTCCAGAAATACGAGGTCTTGCACGGTCCCATGTCTAAACTGTCAGCCCAAAAAAAGAGTGACAATGTGCTCCAAAGCACTTGTTGTATATAAGTCTTGTTTCCAAAGATACGCGTCAATAATGGTGCGATTCCTCGAAATTAAGCTCTGCTTTCTTTCCAGCCCGAGCGTGTTCCTGACCCTACGAGGTGAATGCTTTCAATCAAGACTGTATGGTGGCTGCAACATATTGTGCGTCAATTTCAATCAACCCACCCATTTTCATGACAAGACATTGTGGTGTGAAGATCTTGCATAGTGGTTCATCATGGTGTCCAAAGCCACATTCAAAACAGTCTGCTTGGCCTTCTAGTGTTCAATCGTGTGCGCTGGTGGCATGAGATTGACAAAGGCCCAATCTATTCTTTTTGAGGCAAAGCGGACAGCCAACACCGCGGCTCCAAAATAGTTTGTGCGGCGCATATGAAGCCACTGTTCGCTGAACATAGCCGTTCGAGATGTTGAAGCAAGACACATGTTTTATTTGTTCCTGATCAAGTCCAAGAAAGAATTGAAACTTGCACCTGTTTATTCTGTTTTCTACCATTTCTGTTTTCTACCATCCTTTCCGACTGCGATATAATTTTTCTGCTTCATGGGGGAAAGAAGACTCACGGGAGTCCTGTCCACACCGACCATGTCGCTGACTCCTGCGTCTGCAGGTGCCGATGCTAAGTGGCACCATGACAATGGCTTCTACCTTAGGGATTCAGCAGATGCTGATGCCAGCATGCGTGATGTTGGTACGCAATCAAATAGAGATGGCACAATAGTCCACTCCTCACTGTGACCATCGGGTCTGTGGTCCCGCGGGGCACGTGCACTGCGCGTCGGTGCGCATTCCCGGAATGGCTGGAGGTTGCTTCCGGTGATGCTTGATGCTTAATGTCACATTGGTGTCATGTAATGTTCAACGCAATTTTTCTAGGACATGTTTAAACATAGTCGATCTTTGTTTGGTCTCATACAGACCTTGTACAAAAGGATCTTGCACAGCAGCGTCTAGAAAGAACCTGTCAAGGAGATCTTGCACACGTCTTCTACAAAGGGAACTTGCAGAATCCAATCTGGTATTGATGCCACGGTGTTTGGAGTCGCCACTTAATCCCCGTCGGCCGCTCCACTCGCCCCACTCGCGCCCCACTCGCCCCACTCGCCCCATTCGCCTCACTCGCCCCACTCGCCCCACTCGCCCCACTCGCCCCACTCGCCCCACTCGCCCCACTCGCCCCACTCGCCCCACTCGCCCCACTCGCCCCACTCGCCCAAACATTCCATTCACGTTACCACCTCTATTCCTTTTTCATACTGCTGTGTGGTGAAACCAAAGCAAGCAGGGCAAGCGGGGCAAGCGGGGCAAGCGGGGCAAGCGGGGCAAGCGGGGCAAGCGGGAAGAACCACCGATCTTCCCTCGGCTTGCAAGTAGGGCAAGCGGGGCAAGCGGGGCAAGGAGGAAGATTCACTTATTTTCCCTAGAAGGGGAGCAAGCGGGGCAAGCGGGGCAAGCGGCAGAAATCACTTAGCGGCCCCGCGGGGCACCCACACTGTGTTAGTTCGACAGGAGTTGAGATGACTGACGGCGACAGGACCTGGGACACACGCCTAACCAAAACAGCTTAGTAGAAAAGAATCCCCATAAATCCCCTTACTCTGGTTTGTGGGGGTCATACTTGAGTGGGTACTCTCCCATAAGGTAGGTTCGGGGGGTATTACCCTGGCACGCAGCTGCTTTTCTCTTGGCGCATCTGTGGGGTAGGCGGCATTAGAAATGGCACTGATCAGGTGGTTTCACACAGTCAGGTGCACGCAGTGCTAGCTGTCTGCAGGTTGGATCAGTCAATAATTTCCATTTCCATATCTGCGACAGGCGAGGCTTGCGGAGTGCCTGGTGATTGGCCATCTTGCATTCTTTTAAGGCGCTTCCTGATACGCGTCAGATGCTCGCGGGCATTGATAAGCCGCGTTTCATGGAAGGCCACTCTTTCACAGGCTGTCTTCTCCATGTTCTGTAACGTCGGGATGTCTGCTGCGGCGAGGTCGACGTCCTGCCTGGATTCGCTGGCGGGCTCAGGACTGCTGGCACGAGCGGTATCAGTTGCTTGAGTCTCTGGCGATTCATTTGGTGCATCTGCAGGCGACGATTCTTCTGTCGGTGTGTCGTCATTAGCTGCGGGCTGCTCTGGAGATTGTTGCTGTCCATCATCTTTGCTGTGAGCTGCAGTGTGGAAGTCGGAGGATAACACGCCGCTACCCGGGGTATCCGATTGTGATTTGGTCGCGGGTAGGGCCGATGGTGGGCCTGGTCTTTGGTTAAATAATGATTGTGCACTGATTTTAGCTGGCGGATTGCTTTGTTGTGGGGTTGGAGCTTCTGCCACCACGCCTGTGCTGGGATTGGTCGATACGGCGGTTGCCGCGTTGTCTGTGCTTTGTTGACTTGCGGCCAGCAAATTGGCTGGTTTTTG